ACCTATCTAATAATGATTTATGGATACATACTCTTTCGTCTTCGTTATCACTGAAAGCAGTAAACCCAAAAGGACAAAAGTAATTTACTGGTCCTAAACCAAAGTCTTACCTAGGGACCAACGAACTTAACATACAAATTGTGGGAAAAATTCCCCACATTAATAGACAATAACATCTCCTCCCTTAAGAGCATCCAAACGTGTGATAAAATGGTGTACTCATAATGCCAGGATTACTATCACCCTTCTATGCAATTATCACTCCGATTCAAAAGATCAAGACAACTTCCATTGGACTATAGACGTGTCAAGCTCACCAGTATCGTAGTTAAAATGCTGGAAACAATAATGAAAAAGGCTTATGTAAACACCGTGAAAACCAAAAACTTGTTTAAAAGGAAAAAACATGGCTCCAGGAAAGGATTATCTCGGACAGTATATCACTTTCTCGCAAGAGGAAGAGAAATGGATGAAGTCGTTAGGCAATTGAAGATCACTGAAGGTTTTCTACATTGTCTTTAGCGAAGCGTTTGACAAGGTGCGACACAACAGACTTCGCCTGAAGCTGGAAGTTATAGAGATTGCCAGAACTCTCCCAAAGTGAAACAAAGATTTATTGGTAGGTCGCTGACAGAAAGTAATAATGAACTCCAAGTGTCTTTCATGAAAACCAACAATCAGTGGAGTACAGCACAGCTCTTTTCGAGGTTTTTACTTTTTATCCAGTGTGTAAATAAACTCTAAAGCATCGTAGAATCAATGATTCCATCTTATGTTGACGACGTCAAAATGTGTCGAGAAATAACAGGGAGTGCAGGTGTATGTTCACTTCAGGTTGACCTGGACGATTTGAATAGCTAGCCTGGAAGGTAATTGGTCCTTGTCAACGCAACTAAGTAGGTTTACATGTAAATCAGAGATGCAAAAACAAGCAGCTACATCATTGGGAAAGCGTTGATGCTTGTAGTCATGTCTCACATTGATCTAGGGGTGACATGAAGCCACTATTTTGGGACCATGGCTCACCATCGTACGTTTTCAGCAAAGGTTTTCAGAGTTGTATGGGCTTTAGTATGTTCATTCACCAAGTTGTATATAAGCATATTAACCGCAGTGTACACAACGTTAGTGAGATCCAGACATGGAAACCGAGTTCACGCTATAAACCCCTGATTAACACATGACTCGGATATCATGCAAAAGTACAAAATACAGTTAAATATGGGGTTCCAGAATTCGGAGGTTTACCATGAACAGAGTAAATTGAAAAGTTAGACCTCTTTACTCTGTCCAACAGTAGAATAAGAGGTGAACTGATTTTGAAGTACAGAACACTAAAAATGATTTCCGAATTGATGTATCCTCCATTTTCTTCTTCTATACCAGGACAGTTCATACGATATAGGAGACGTGTTCAAAGATTGAGAACGGACACATTAACTACGGAATAAGGGTTTTCATGCTGAGTCATCAATTCCTGGATTCTGTTGCCCGTAGTTGTACTTATACCTCTGATCAGCCGTCTTAGTCTAAAAAGGACAGGAAACTGAGTGGTCTTTGTTAATCTTGGTAATGATGATCTCTGACTTGAACCAAATTTCTTTTGAAAGCATAAACGGACGAAACTTCAATCGTGTATTGCGGCAATGAATTCCATTGGCTGATGATTCAACAAGAAAGTTGATAGTCGGCTAATAAGTAATTTTTTCTGTGCTTGTGGAAATTATTAGTGTCCTCATAAACTTTCCATTTTTGAAGAAAAGAAAAATGAGGATATACCAGATGCAGGTTTATCATTTAAGTAATTCAAAAACTGTGGTCACGTTACATCTCGTTCTTCTATATAACGATGGAAATAGATTTAGTTTAGCCAGTGGATCATCATACGCGAGATTTTCTATTCTGGGAATCAGCTTAGTTGAGATTTTTTGAGCCCTTTCCAACGACTTGCTGCTTCTTTTTAGACAGGAGCTAGCCACTTGTATGCAGTACTCGAGTTTAGGCGAACGAATACTGTATAAAGAGTGAAAAAAGTTTTAGCATCAACATGGCTAAAAAATATACGTATAAAGTACATGGTTTTGAAACCTTTGGCGGCTATCGCACGGCAGTGTGCAGTGGTTTCCAAGTTTTGGCTACCGATTACTGTTAGATCCAAACTAAGGTTTGGACTGAAGAATAGCTGTCTAGGTGGGTTAGATACGCGCCCTTGTCCGTTTGAAACCATAACAATGTGACTGGGTAAAATGACGGTTCTAATATTCACCATAAAGTTAAATGTACATCGTTACCTAAACAAATATGACCACCCAGATATTCAACCAATAATTGTTCAAATACTCAAATCAATCACAACAAATAAATGCTATTCTATTCTGTCTGGATAGACCACGCACAGACTCGTTCAAAAGATAATATTTGGTTGCTTTATAACACAGAGTGTTTCCAATTCTGGAAGAGTACCTCAATTCACAATCAAAAATGCACAATTCCAGTCAATACAAGCAACGCAATCAAAAGGAGGAACAAACCAATATGGCCGCCGTCAAGACAAAATATCAAGTAAAACAACATAACTGCAGTTCAGGAAGAAACACGGAAACTTAGTGAAGGCGTAAGGAAAATAAAAACTATGATAAAATACAAATAATGACAACTCAAATGGAATCAAAAGACTAACAATGTAGAACTAAAGGAATCAATATGAACAAACTGCAAATGTATACATGGAGGGATTTTCACACACAAAAGATTTAAAATGGATCTTACAACTACTTCTAAGTCATTGTGTGTCTGTACAACAAGTATATTAATTTTATTTACCGTGTATACATTTGTGCCTTGGTGACTACAGTGCATCGTAATTCACTTGAAAGCATTTATCGGCTACCGCCAAATTTTAGACCATCCAGATAACTTCTCCGAGTCATTTTGAAGCTCAAAAGTATCACCTTCAGTTTTTATTGCTATCTATGTCTTGATATCGTCAGCGTATAACAAGGTCATTTACACGCAAGAGAAGCAAAACTTGGCTGAAACTACACCTTGAGGCACTCAGCTGAACACAGTTTCCCGGCCAGACAACTTTGAGTTCACCCGCACTTTTTGTTGACGCCTAACTAGGAAGTCCTCTATTCACATTAACAAATTACCTCCAGTCCTGATATTATGTAGATCATATGACAGCCGTTTGTGAAGAACTTTGTCAAAAGCCCTGCTAAATTCAATGTACGCTACATCTATAGGTAACTTTTGATCTTTAAGAGAGTATCGAAATTCACGGGCTACTAATAAGTTAATGGGACATGAACAACCTGCTCATAAAGAATCTGATTTTCGTCGAAATACCTAAAGAACTACTTACGAATATTTTTCTCTCAAATTTTAACAACCATGCTGGTTATGGGTGTACGGTTCTCAGGCTTATGTCTCGTACATGTTTTGAAGATAGGACTTACAATATCAGTATTTCAGTAGTTTGGTAATCAATCCTTTGTTACAGATAGACTAAAAAATATGCTTGAGGGATTTGAGAAAAATTGTGCTAATTCCTCTGGTAACCTAGGGTGCATTTCACCCAGTCCCACGGGTTTTCCTGTATCAAGTTCATTTAGCAAACCAAAGACATCAAGCTCTTTAGTGATCACGATGTACTGTGTGTGGGGTTTGTACTAACTGAGGGGGGTGGCATCTGCACGGTGTATACTTTGCGAACGTAGTTTGAAAATACCTTAGCCTCACCATAATCACCCTCTACTAACGAAGTAGTACTTCCGTCTCCCCATTGAGCCATAATATTTCCTCTTCCAATAATCCTTTGGTTTATGTACGAGTATAAGCGTTTGAGGTATTCTGCGAACTCCTTAACGAGTTTTCCTTCGTACAACCTTCTAGACTTGCAGAGGGTTGAGACACAAATATTTCGAGCTTTCCAATGTTGAGATTTCCTCTCGTCAGTACCCAATAACCCAAGTCTCTCCCACATTCTTCTCCTCTTACGGAGGAGTGTGCGAACCTCCTTACTGAACTACGGTAGGGGGTTTCTCGAACCACTTGATGAGGTTCAAGTGATGTGTGTGGCAATGGCTATACATTTATGAGTACATCCCAAGTCGTTTAAATTGGGGAATATGGTTATACTGGGGTTATTGAGTTTAACCTTGGGATACATTTTCTGCGAGTTTTCTGCCCACTGCCTTTTAGAAGGCGGAGAACAGAAGAAACTTCCTTTTTCGAAATTTTTTCTCAAAGACCTTTTTTAAGACAGTTCTTTCACCTTTGTCTCATTTAAGTCAATCGACTCTGAGCTTATTTGAACATACTTCACATCAAATTATGCATCGACAAAGCGAGTACCATTTTTATATGTCTCAATTACGCTTGTTAACACTCCTCTTAGCGGCAAGCTGTTCGCTTCCGGTCAGCATCTTTGACAACCACACGTAAATACCTTCACTAAACCGTTTTAAGACTACAGGCTTCAAATTAGTGTAAACTTCGTAATACTATCCTTTGCACTCGTCTCACTACATTCCACTTTCATCAGGGGACCAACAGCCCTGGCGGTGTGAATAACGTTTTCTTGCACTGTTCTGTCATCAATCAGACGTGGTAAAGAGAAACTAGACACAGACAATACCCAAAAACAAAATAATTAATGACCAGAAAAAAAGTGAAAAATTGTAAACCGTTGGACCGTAAAGTGCAAACAAATTCAAAAAGAGCCAGTGTACTAGAAAGGGGAAAATGACGTTCGAAAAAGCAGTATTCTTGAAAATTACTTCAACTGAAACAAATTCAATTAAAGTGAAAATAGCAGTCGTGATGCTTAATTAACGATCAAAACATGAAAGTGAAACCAGCGCGAGCAACAACTAATAAGTAGGCAAGAAACAAGAAATTACTGGAAAATAGCCAACACATGCCTTCGGTGTTCTGCCCTCAGTACACTAATTTCGGTCACTTCGTAATAAGGCATGTAGTGGCTATAACTAATACACACCTGTGGGCGCGTTATTTGGCTACTGCGTTACTGTAACAAAAACTCGTGATTAGCTTCTTCGTGCTTATTGTAATGTTTTCTAGTATATCTAGTGTTCTTTCGCTTCCGCTCACGTATATTCTACTTCAAAAACTGTTAACACTGCTTGAGAAATATAATTAACTGGGTTTGTGATATAATCAAAACTATTTACTTGATTCATATCTTTTTACTAGACCTCCCATTTTTTTGGAATGGGTGATGATACTTCCAAGGTTTCCACATCATTTTAGTCAAACCCTGCTTCTAGGCTTTTCGAATACTCAGTCTGTAGTTTACAACGCCCGAGATATCGTTGTTTCGCTATCGAGAAACATTACTTGTTGATAAGTTTTAGATATAGAATGAACTCCAAATAAACAACTTTGTGTATAAGCCGCAGTATACAAGGTGACTACAAAGGCTAAGCAACCACGCGCTCTCATAAAAGACAACTTGTTCGTCGTATATGAGATCTGATTGTTGTATTTTATGAGCTCCAGCTAAGCTTGACTTGAACGGTTCAGGTGGCTGACTTTGGTTCCTAATTTTAGCTTTACTAAATGCTCTTCTCAATGCTACAAATACTCCATCACCTTAGGTTTTTGATAAGACTTGTTAAAAATCAGCGGGATATTCAAATACATCTCTGTTATTGCTTTTAGGATATTGATGTAAATGGAATTAAGACAGCACTTATTACTATAAAATCTACTGCTAAATATCACATACAGTATTGAAGGGAATATAGTTCTATTTTTGCCCGTGGATCAAACTATCTTTCGACCCATCTGACACTTTTATTAGGTTGCATTGTCTTCCGAACATTATAAAGTACTATAAATGGAACCAATGAATTTTTTCCCAGGTAAGAGTATAGTGTTTTTTTCTAACATTGAAAAGCACCTTTTTCACTAGGAACAAGCGATATGACGGTTACAGATGTTTTACCAGCACATGTCGATGTATGCCCCCAGAATGTCGAAAAGTCCATTGTGGTACTTATTCAATTAATATTAACTTTATTTGTATTCCTAGAGCTGTCAAATCGGTAATGTGCTTTACAGTAGCAAGTTAAAGTCTCCTTTGAGGGATTCTAAGTAAGAGTTTTTTTCATTATATGTGGTGACTATTTTAAATTTGAATCATGGGTTTGTAATAATTTTAAGCTAATAGTAGTTATTGTGATTTTTGGTCAGTGTTTATGCTCCTAAATTATTATGCTTTAATAACCTGGAGCTTGTTCGTACGTGTTGTTTATATTGCTGATTTGTTTAAAAATTTCAATACTTCTCCCAGAGTGATCTAAATAGCTTTTTTGTAGGTTGCCCGTTATCTTTTAGTGTAAAAATCTTGTTTGGAGAGCATTGGGACAAGGTCAGATTTATTATTATGGTAGCAGGCGACTTTTGTAGACTTACACATCATTTGTTCTTTCAGAAATTTGAAATCCATGCACACAATTAGTTTAAGATTAAAGATTACTAACTATTTCCAGTGACGTTCCTTATTAGGAACCTAGTTTAAAAACATGATGTTCCTTCTTTATGATACGTGCCTCAGTGTATCGTTTTACTAAGTTTTCCCATTGTGTGGACAAATTAATAAATCTATAGCTAATCATCCATTCGATAATGTACGTTAGTTTCTCACATATTTCTGTGTACAGTTACTTTATTTCTGTGTTGTACTATGCTTTCCAGAAATTAGCAAACTTAATGCGATTTGTTAAGGTTAGCAAACATTAATATTTTTTGTTCGATCAGATGTAAGCTGACTTTACGAATTTACAGAAGTGGGAGAGTTCGGGTGCCCTGAATTATTACCTACCGATTACAATTCTAGAATATAGGCATTTCTTGCCCTTTTCTTATTTTTCTTGTGATGGTATTTATGGCTTTGATGTTGCTGTTTCAAAATGTTCCACAGTGAGAATTGCAGTATCTTTAATCCACATTTTAATCAAGTCAATCAGCTACTGATTAATCCTACTATCTAATGATATGTGATAATTTTCATGGTGAATATTGAGAAGTACAGACGGAACTGACTGTCATGTTTGACAGAGTTGATCTTCGGAATCTACTCAAAGCATCCCAAGTTTAATAATCGCTCTTGTACTTCATATGATTTAAATTTACTTGAGTAACGAGGAAATTTATTTCTTTATGTAGTTATGCCACTATAATTTACAACAAACGAACAAAAAGCGTTGAAGTTATTCACAAAAAGCCGGAGTTCCTTGAGCCTTGCTTTGATGGTATGTTATAGTTTTTACTGATATTGCTTTCAGATGACGTAATTGAGGTCCCAAATTCAGTGAAAGCTGATGTAAGTCAAAAAATTGTTTATTCTGTTCATATTTCAATTATCAAGTAATATAACTAGTTTAACGTGGAAGATGCTACCTTCAGTTGAACATAAGGAGATGTATTTGACTGTGAATTCAAACTCATTCTTTGATTATTTCTTTTCAATAATTAGTCTGAATTTTCTTCTTGCTCTTCTAAGGTCTATTGATATTGGGAAATTATGTGCAAATCAGAGTAGTCTAAAATCTTATGTCCGGCAAATGTATAGAATTAATTTAAGCTACCAGTTAAATTGCCTGCATTATGTCAAGAAATGCTTATGAATCAATGATATGACTAATAGGTTTAAAACACAAAATCGCTTTTATATATCCTCCGGATTTTGAATTGTCAGTTAAAATTGTTTTTTATTTTATATGAATCAAACCCCGGCACAACTAACCTACTCTCATTTTGCTTTGCAGAGAGCTACTCTCATCAATGCTTTCGGTTCTGTCAAAAAACAACGTGCTTTACGTGAAATGGAAAGAAATCAAACTCAAAAGAATTCGGTGACCAATGCTCAGGTGATTGATCGAGCTATGCATGGTCAAACCAAATTAAAATATGATAACGATGCCAATTTGAATAATCGTAAGAATTGTTTTATTACTTTCTTACAAACTAGATTTTTATCGTTATTTCCGGTTATATATTTACGAAACTTTTTATTTGATAGTAATTAGTGCTGAATTTAGTATTCGAACTAAATTCGAGAATAGGCTTACACTTATTGTTTTTAAGGTATGAAGCTAAGTATAAAATCTTGCACCTAGTGAGCAAGTTACGTCATTGTTCTAGGATTAACTAACTCGACTAAAACCTCTCGATCCGATTTTCATAGCCGTCTAATTGTACGTGAATTTTTCGGTAAGCGTTAGCTACGATCTGTAACATATATATTTACGTCGTGAGTAGCGGGAGCGAAAACCTATTGATTACTGATGAGTTTTTCATTGACGCCATGAAAATAGTTGATTTTACCTTTTAATTTCAAACATGTTTTGAATGTGCAGTTCTTTTATCTTCAGCCTGGAGTGATAGTTTATTGGTTAAGAAATTCAGGTCTCAATCAGTATTAAGTAGCATGTTCCAGTTGCTCTCCATCTTTTGACTACGCTATTCATATGATTTCTGGATAGCGTAATGAGTCATACAATTTGGTAATGTAACGCTCCTCGTTAATTTTTTGGTTGATCCGATTCACTTACTAATTAGACCGTTGGTTGTAAAAGTAAAATGTATTTCACTGGCAGAACTTGGATTACTCATTTTTCTTAAGGTGCTGCGTGTTGAAAATAATAAAATGTCATGTCATTTAAATTTACCCTTATTATATCTTGGCCTAGTAAACCCTTCCCTTCTTATAATTATCTTGTTTATGTATCTGAAGTTTACCAACATTTAAAATATGTTAGTTCCGATTATTTTGACTCATCCTATGTTTAGTCCCTTCTCGACTTAGAAAGGGTAACGTAACATAAAAATTGCTTTGGTGAAATCTACACATTTGCCTCACGTAAAAATACATATATAAAAGCTTTCGTAAGTTCATTGTTACTTAGCCCTAATGTTTTACACTCAAACATGTCATAAAACTATTTTTGTCACTTTGTTTAGCTGACAACGAAATGGATTGTTCTAACTCTCAAACCGATGAACGTCTCCGCCTTCTTCCACCAATAGTCTTGAAAGCTTCTTGTCCTGCGGATGTTTATCCTTATGAAAAATTAGTTCCTCCTAGAATTTCAGAAGCCTTAAATTCGGAGGTACAACGTATTATATCTGTTGATGTCAATTCGATTGATACTCTAATAAATAAGAGTATTTATCCGCAGTGGATAAGGAATAAGCTGTATAACTTGTGTACAACTAAGTCTGAAGGTTATACAAAACATGTTACCGGTTTGGTGTTTCTCAGTCACATGTTTGCTTTGTTTCACTTGCCTAACCGAGACCTGATGCGCAAGGTTCCACTTCCAGATACACCAAATACTGTTAACAAATATCTTCTTACTCAGTTTACAGCATCAGTTAGTCGGAATGGTATGGGACGTCTAAAAGTACGGTATGTAAATTTTCCTCACTACTTTAATGATTCACGTTCGTTAACTGTTTTAAACTGCATAGGTTTTTATGAGATTGTGACAGTTCAATAATAATTATCTTTGTTGCACGGTATTTAAACTACTAAGTATAAAATGAAGGACATGTAAACTTGAGTTTGTCTATGGTCCGTGGGAAATCCTCCAAGATATGTTTGTGTATCTAAAAATGTATTTCGGTAAAATATTTGGTAAGGAATCCTTCTAACCTACTATTACGCTTTGATTCCTGTGATTAATATCGTGAATAATTGTCATTCCTTTGAAAATCCTTTAATTGAAAACTATTACTGTGGAGGACCCACCTAGGGGAGTTGGAAAACACTAACTCCAAACCAGTGGTGCACATGGGCTCCAGGATCCTAAAGGAACGAATGGCGTATGAACCTATTGTTGGTCACGGGCTACCGTGGGGCCGAATCTCCTTACGTTGCTCCACTGACTTGTGGACTAGACTTCTAGGTCAACGGCTTGAGAAGTGTCCTCCTAATAAAAACCCCTGCTTTGGTCTGAGCGACCGGGCAGTATCCCAACCCTTACACAAATCGAATGGCGAAGTGTGTCGCATTTGTATTTGGTGCCTCCTTGTACTAATGTTTATTTGTTTAAAGAAACTAAATATCACCCTTCACGACTTCAAAGACTCTAACAGTGGTCATTAACAGTTTTCCAAACTTCTATTTTAGTATTCATCCCCACTTCCATGTAACATCGAAGATAAAAAATTTCTAACGCTAAATTGCAAAAGTGGCAGAATTTGTACACCAACTTGTCAAATACATCAAATTCATTTTATCCTACGGAAATATATTTTTTTAAAACTAGGCGAATCCCCTGTACATTCTCCAGAATTTTAGACAGCCCTTTATTCCTATAAACCAATATATTCACTGGGGTCCACTACCAATAGTAGAAAAAGCCCCTGCCAATTCATTATTAACACCACTATTAACCACTATACCAACAGATGTATGCCTATCTACTTTGGAGACCTAGCAGTAATTAAGTATAACCTCGTTCATAGTATAAAGTTGATAACTTTCCTCAAAAATGTTTGGCTAACTGATTCAAATATTGTAGCATTGGTCTGTGATTGTTCCTAACCAAGGTCAAAACAACAAATACCAGAATAAATGGACTTTCAGGTGTTTCACTCTAGTTGTAGATATTTACTTCATTTTTGTTTGTCATTTATGAATTCTGATTTTGTTTGTAATACTTCAGCGCAATGTCACCAATGCTTCGTGATAAATTGATTACGCACATGTTAGTCCTGATACTTCATTGTGACAATTTCAAGACGATGGTTGATAGTTTGACTGTAGACTTCAAAATCGGACGTGAAAGGTTAGTATTGCATTTCACTACTATAAACATACAGGCTAATTGTTTTCCATATTATTCACGTAATTGCTATGTATTTGTATCATGCAAGTCAGCTGATGAATCATGAGATCCACTATTTTTAGGATAGCTCATCTCTTCGCCGTTTTTCTCAGAGTCCATATAGGTGGAGTCTTCACCAGGTATACTACATTCCATCAGCAGTATGAAGATATCAAGTGCGAAAATAGTGAAGACATTTGGTGCTATCAAGTCAAACCTTCTCATCTTATAACGTAATTCCCAGGACTTACAACTTCTTTTCTAGATACACATTATATTTGTGGACGAAGTCATCTCTATTGTTTACTAGTGCTATTTGGTTTCAGATTGTTCAGAATATTTTATGATTCTTGTTGGGAATCGTTGAGTGATGTGTAGGATGTCATTCTTGTTATCACGTTTATCTCTGTTACATCTAAGTATTTAGTTAGACACTTTTATGGGGATTTATTTTTTGTCTCTTAGGTTAACTCAGTTTTTCCAATATTTGGGATGTAAATGTTCAAAGGTTGAAAATACTCAAAACAAATCTGAATTGAACATGGTAGCTGAACTGGTGACACCCGTAAGATTACCGGATCTCAAGTCAAATAGAGCACCACATTGATTTTAGCAAAACAATTGGCGACTGTACATAAAGTTGTTCTTTTGTTAAATATTTCTTCTTTCTTTGCCTTGGACTAATTATTCAATTTTAATTAGATATGTCACTATCTATATATATGATGCGAAGTCTCACTGAATCAGTCACATGATTAGTAGAACTAACAAAAGAAACAATCTTGGGTGTTGTACTAAAATTTTTTTTAAAAACTATCAATTTAACACATGTACCTACGAGACCAAACATTGGAGGAACTCCTAGTGACAATATTTATAAAGTTAAGGAGGTCAGATTAAAAGAATGATAATGGCTGACTTGGTCTCCCAGTTACTAAGTTGCAAATTTAAGTTCCCCTCTGTCTATCGCAAACTGAGCAGCCAAGCAATATCGCTAGCTCCCACATAAAGTATGTTCTAAAAGATATCAAATATACTGATCTGTACTTGATCACTGAGTTGTATAGTCATCAATCAACTTAATGTCTAATTTTTCTGTAACGCGTCATGAATAGACAGACAACATTTGAGCTCATCACTAACATAATATGCTAACCTAAATGCAGATGAGTTAATAGGCAGTTTGGATTGGATAAAAGTATAATAAATGTCGTTCGGAAGATGGATTAATTTTAACGCCCCCAAATGCCCTGGTACGGCCGAGAATGGGCCAGGGGTAAAATAGCCATCTATGTGTTGAAATAAATAAATAATTAATTTTAACACATAGATATTGGTACAAGGAGGCACCAAATACATATGCGCCACACAGATCTCATTTGATATGTGTGAGGGCTGTGATACTGCCCGGGTGCCCAAACCGAAGCAGGTGGTTTTCTTAGAGGGCCACTCCCTGAGCCTTTAACCTGAAGGTCTGATCCACAAGGCAGTGGAGCATCGTAAGGAGATGCAGTCCCATGGAAGCCAGTGACCAACAATTGGTTCATACGCCATTTGTCCCTTCAGGATACTGGAGCCCATGTGCACCATTGGTTCGGAATCAGGGTTTCCAACTCCCCTAGGTGAACTCTCCATGTCCACCAACCCGGTTAAAGCGCCGGACATTCGCTTTTCGTTTTATCAATTTCGTAAACAACACCCCCGCCACGAGAAGGCAGTGAGTAGAACTTCCCTGGAAGAGGCTATATACGTGTGGCCATGTAAGAGCATTTCGAGAGGGAGAGCGGACTCACCCCACTCTCGGCCATACCAGGGCATTTGAGGGCTCGGGAGATATATACTTGTCTACTGAATAAAAGAAACCATTAAAAAAACTTAAAACGATTCAATAAAAAACCTCTCTCGACGATTCCATTTACTAATGCTGTACAAACGTATTTATAATCATTTTATACATTGTAGTGTATACTTAAATACAGAGTTGTTGCGTTATTAACAAGGTTATCAAGACTTAATTAGTTATTTTGAAGTGTTGATGCAAATGAAGAATTCGATAGTTCGTCGGGATTTTAATCTCGAAGCTCATGTAATATGCTTAAACAGTATTGATTTGCTGTAAGTAGGTAAATCCACATAATATATGTCAATATTTCTATAAAAACATGAAAGTTAGTGGTGTTGTTACCGTAGTCGTAAAACGTACGTGCTTTAAAATACCATAGATAAAACCGCTCAAGATACCAAGAAATAATACATGGATAGTCAAGCAATGGAAAAATATGGAGCATCAGCAGAAACAAAATGAATCTTTCCATCCATTCTTCTTAGTGAACGTACATGTAAAATTTAGTTACGCATTTGGCCTGGCTTATTTTAGGCTATCTATTTATGCCCTGTTTTTTGGAAAAAACGTAATCCCTCGACGTTTGACGAAGTGGGCCTTTCAATACTTATACTAGCATATGTGCACTTGACTCGGTGATAAACTTAAACTAAGACCCTCCTTGCCATAGATGCTGAGAACGCTAGAATAGGAGATGTCATTTTGGTGTGTATATCAATAAAATGAATCACTTAACAACTAGAAACTCAATTCCTAAGTGTCTAGTTTCCTCTGGTCATCCCAAGCTTTTAGAAAGTTCACTTGATGTTATTTAGAAGTACGGAGTATCTTGTTTAAATGTCCCCATCTGTATGTACACACCGCAAACGATGTAGCCAACGAATGGTAAGGTCTAAGTGGAAATGTACTTTGCATATTTCCTCTTACAACTATGATTTCCGATTTTTAATGTCAGATTACGTTGATTTCCCAACAACGCTGGTGTTTTGTAAAATTCTCTAATTACACTCCGACTTAAAAAAACTCTTCCACCTTCTTAGCTTTATTATTTTTATTAGAAAACATTCTTAAATTAATGCTGACGGTTGATCACTACGTATTATCTGGCGATCACTTGGCGTTAACTTAATACATTTCCTTCAGGTCACTCTTCAACCCTCGGACTTTGAGTTGCAGAGAATTTTGCTACTATTAACTTTGTTGTGGATTGCTTTTAAATCACTATTTAACTGCATATTTCTCATCAGACATTACGGAAAAATATACTGCATGATCATTAATAAATATTTATTAATTCAGTATCTTTGCAATGTTAAAATAAAATAAATTATGCAAAAGTATCCAGTCCAGATATGCGTGAATAAATATTAACAGCAAACAACTATCAACTATACATAATCATGTATCAAGTATTAGAACACGTGGAATTATAGCTCATCACTTTTTAAAAATATTTACAATCAGAGAACATAGTATTTCTCTTTAATTTGTATCACAGTTAACACATTTGCAATCATTCACTAAAATAAACGGAACTGGTAGAAATGACATAAAAAAAGTGTGAAATTCCATTTCATGATAAGCGATACCACGTAAATTACGATAGCAGCTGTTACTGGCCACAACAGAACTGTTGTACGCTTGAGAAACGGTAAAGCTGAAATGTAACAAGAGATGTTATTTGTTATTGGTCATATGTGACTGTAACATCCAATACCCGATATTTGGTGTCAAACATGATATCCATCCTAAACAATCTTCAATAAACATCTGGATGGGAGCAAGTACGCTTAAGGTCACTTCAGATATTCACCGTATGAGACTCAACAACGAACGAACTTTATCAAATATGTCTATTATTCACTGCCTATCTATTAATAACTTTAGAATTAACCACAGTATATCTAACCAGTTAAGATCTGGACATTTCATCCCCAACTTGTTTACTTTTATTCTTTTCCCTATTTATCTTAATGATATCTTTGTTCTGTTGTTTCCCTTTTCTCTAAAACTATAATGGTCTATATCGAGTGGCTGAAAGTCAAGTACGCATACTGAAAAATCGGAACATTTTCACTTACAAAATTTTTGTACATTCTACCATAAATAACGAATTCATTAATTCACATAACCGACCACGGATAACTAACTTCACGGTTAGCAGTTACGATAAAATGAAATATAACAGTAATTCTATTTTTCTAAGGTAGTTGCACACAATCGTAATAAAAAATATCAAGAAATGATTGGCTAAATACAGGTAAAAATGCTATGTGAACTTACTACGGTAACCCAGGAATGTGATATAGGTGTAGTAAGTGAAACTCGTCAACCAAAAAGTATTACCCAGTAACCTCCCGATGAACCAGTTTTGAAGAATAACTAGATATTTAAAGAAAAAACGATTTAAGTCAAAAATATTGGAAGAAATATGTGACAATAATTTTTTTTTTCAATCTGTTGAAGAAATTGAAATGGTGATAAGATATGGCCAATTGCTCTTCATGTTAATATTGTATGGTATATGCGTATGTATACTTATCGACAGGATAGTGTTTCGATTATTATGAATTCTGATGCATTTGTGGCATTTCTATACAGTCAAATTTGAAATAATATGTTATGTACAGTTATTTACAAGTTGCTAAGTCGGAAAAGTGAGTACATCAAATAGTATTCTGATGTAGTCAACTATGTAATACTTTGTGGTTGGTGCGAAATGCCGTTCCGTAGGAGAGGGCACGTACAAGTCACTACTATTTGATTTTAAATGTCTTTTAAACATTTTCTGAGTACGGTGTAGTCAAGTAATTAGTGCGAACGATAAGGCATAAAGTACAAAACAAAAATAGTTGGTCGATTAAACTAAACCTCTATCAAATGGGGCAGTTAGACTGTTTGAACACACACCTGATGTCTACTACAATGTAGAATTTTGGCTAGCAAAGGAGTATATTAGGAGGTTGAGAACAACTAAACAAAAATAGCAATAAACCGTTGAGTTATCAACTGTTGATAAGGCGTGATGCAATCAGGCTCTGGTTTTTAATATCAAAAACTAATTATAAATATATATAGTGATTTGATTGGTTATGTGTATAGTGTCGAGAAATTGCATACTGTGAACAAATAAAATCAAAAGAATTTCGAAGTTAGCAAACCTACTGTACAAAAAAGGTAACTGTAACAAGTGCAAAATGCACAATGCCGGAAAAAATCCATTTAAGTGAACATCAAAGGCGTATCCCCATTCAACTTGCGGATCGGTTTCAACAAAAGGTCCCAATCCATTGAGTTGTGGACGACTTTTGGATGAATCAACGAAGAAATGATTCGTAATAATCCAAAAGAATGTTGCCTGGAGAAGACTAATTGCAATAAAATCGACGAATACGACCCATAGGACGAACTCAACTGACTGAATTGCATTTAACGACATACAAAAGGCAAACCCCAACGAAGTAACTACAGTGTAGTGAGAAGTGAAGCAATTATTTAGATTTGTTGAAAGAATTTTGGTGTGAATAGCTTGCAACGGTTCATTGAGAAAACAAATAAACTTTGGCTAAATATGTATTTCATGAATAATGATTGACAAAGTACTTATTTGGAAGTTGAAGCAGTGGGATTAAAGCTTTAATAGGGCAGGTGTTAATGAGTAATAACTTTTAGTCTGACTTTGCATCAAAAACGAATCTTGAGTTTAAGTCTTCGAATGAAAAAAGAATTATTTAAATACAATGTTATCAATCTATAAGAATTAAGGTACAATCAATACGGTAACTGGTCACAGAATTAGATAGAAAAATAAATAGTCAAACAACTGACTGCATTTGAATTTTAAACAACTAAAAGTTATTTCAGTTGCTTTTTGAAACAACAAACAATATTTTAAATAAAAAATTTCGTCGACACCGTTTTTGACAACCTTAGCTTAGTATACATTAGTCATCCTATGATTTTAGGAATAAACTGCTTTGTCACACTTCTCAACTCGTTAGTGGATATGTTAGCTGAATGAGATTATATCTTTGAAATATCCCATTTGTACCTAACTTAAAGAGTCCGAGTATGACAACTGTATTATGACATCCAATTCAAATTACTAACTACAACAATCTATGACTAAAGGCAGTCATAATCAACATAGAACCTGAGGCGTTGGCCCAAGTTTCAACATCACATCAGTACAGCAAGCTGAAGTTAACAAACTGAATATCAAAGAAGTGGTGACATTAGTGACCTCACTGCAACTGATATTGAGCCACGTCACAACGTTTTCAACAACTGATGACAGTAATTGCGAGAACCTCAACCAGATTATCTTCACTTAGAAACACGTCACAGATCACTAGGCAATGACTTTGCATACTGATAATACTTCTTGGTTTGCTTGTCCCTAGCTTTCCTACAACCTCCTGCTCTTGTGAACATTGGGCATTAAGGTAGGCGGTAGCTGACCATACGAAATATGTATTTCAACCATCACAGTTAAGGGAGATTCGTAATCGTATCAAATGATTTGTTATGAGTGCCTAGTACCCTGTGTTTAACACTAGCATTGCTCACTCAAACGTCTTAACATTTAACAGCCATGCTTCGAGGGCACCTATGATTGGACACCTGTAACCACCATATCTCCTTTACATATAAAGATCAAAATTTACAGCAGTGAAGTAAAGTAGAGAGGTTGTGCAGCATACTCGCATGTTGTTTCGGAGATAAACATTTCGTCTATGCCACAAGTTAACAGTTGAAAAGAGAGCTTTTAGAATATGTATGGTGTCAGACATCAATTCATCAGAGCTGACATGAAGTCCGAAGAAAATGAAGTATATCATATGGATATAGATAAAATAACAGATGATTCGAAACTATTTCTGCGGAAAATGATGAAATCAGGTCGTTACTCAGAACCAAAGTGAGCATCCTTAGGCTATGGAATACGGCATATTACACAAGGAGCTAAAAAAGGACTAACACGAAATAAAAAAAAACGATAACTGAATATATGTGCACATAAATTAAGTAAATAAATTGGCTGGGATTAATTCAGTTACAAAAGAACGAATGACAAAATCTGCGATATAGGTGAAATTCAACTCATGATTAGTATACTCAAAAATACATTCTCATGCTCAGAAACGCGTCTTTTCAGTCGTTTATAATCAACCAAGTAAACAATTGGAATTCAAACATAAACAAATGTTTTTACATAATCCGCAATACAGTGGAACAGCGGGACAACTGTCAAAGTAGCCGATCTTTAGTCATTAAGTACCTGTTTGAACCTTGTTTTAGCCAATACAGTTAGAGAAACTGGACGGCAATATTATTTATCACTCAAAAGATCTTATTTCAGTTTCATCGTGAATCTAATTTCGAAAAATACGTAAAAATGTATTCGGTGCAGTTGGTGTAATAAGCCACCAGAATGGTAGGATGTAAAATGCAACTGCCTTTTTAACACTACCTATCTCGTGTTTTGCATGGTTTACCACATTTATAGAGAATGTATACATTCTGGCAATATGTATTACTGCTTTCAGGACGTTTTAAAAATTCATAAATCCCATCAAAACGCACGGTATTTGAAACGGAACGAAGGAAGTCAGGGAAAGTTTATTGAGACTTACAGATCAAGAAAACCATCATCAGGACTAGAAATGCTGGATCATCTCTTGCCCATTGCTGTCGCGAACCTGAAGATTTTACATATTGTAAACGATGTACATACATTTGCGATAATTGAAATTCCTGAACACACGTTGCGGCCCAATAAAGAGTTGCCACATCTGCCATAAAGCATATTCGAAATCCATGTGTCTAACATGAAACAGTCGGCGGAAGTACCGACTGCGCTTCTCTGCTGCAGATAAAATTCTTTTGACTGAATGTGAGGTACATGAGTTGGAACAATTAAATATCTTTTCAAACATAGGTTTTGCAGTTTGACCAACTAATTTGCTGCAAGTAGAATGCCCAAGATTAGTCATCAAAGATCATAACGCTAAATACTGTAGATCCCGCTGGAATCAATTACCAATGTTAAGTTTATCGTGTAATATCAGAAGACTGTAAATGAAACATATAACGCTTTCGCTCAACTATCTGTTTACCATAATGAATAAATCTCATGTATACTCAAATAGGGGCTTCCGCTCATTAAAATGAAAGCAAACGATATTGTAAATATTTCATTTTTAAGTAGTATGCGTCCAAATCTCTATTGAGGTCAAAATATGATAAATAGAAGGAGTTTTGGGGATAGGATTTTGCAGTTCAATGCTTTACGAATTTCTTATTGCATGTTGATGAATAATTATTGGTTGATATGTTCACGTCAAACTCTTAAAAGAAGACATGAATTTTGTTCAAATTTAGTAAGTAGTCTAGGAAAAAAGGAGCCTTAAAAACGTTTCGGAACGAAAGATGCAGATGTGAAGAAGCAGTGGCTGGTCATCCTTCACAGTCGAATTTTTGGAATGTCCGTTGTATTGGCTAATAGTTCAAACTTCTCGAAGGGTTTAACTTTGATGGAAAGGAACTTAGTCTCATCCTACATATAAAAGTAACATTCAAATACCCTGTTTGAGCCTGAATTCAAAGAGTGGGGGAGCGTCTGATAAGGAAAAGTTGGACAAATAGTACACAAAGCATGGAGCGAGTACCAGCCCAAACAACCTTAGCCGCCCACATACGGTCCAAAGCTTGAAGAAAGGTAAATCCTCTCCATTAGTAGAGACCGTTGGTCCAACGGTTCCTAAAAATTCAACTTGGAAAGGCGAGACCATTGAGAGTGAGTGATGTTACTAGCAGATAAATAAACACCCAAGAACGAACCAGTATGGTGGTTCACAGAGTGACCGAAATGGTGAGTAGTGGTCATAGCAAAGCTCAGGGACGCGATGGCCATCATGTAGTATCAGCCTGCCCTCCAACATACTGGTGAGTATACTCTGGCTACCTCATCCGTTACACTTTACGAGAGCTTCGTCTTCGCATTTGATGGCTTTAAACTCCGGGAACCGAGGGGACCAAACTGAGTCCATTCAGGCTTAGAATAGCTCGAAGAATGACCCTTCAGCCTCACCATAGGCAGTGGGAGCCGACCTGAATAGGTAATGCGACGGCAGAAAAGCTTAACAAAATACATATCGGTATCATTCAACCTTAATCAATAACCCACGATACAGGACAGAAATTAAGGTCCCTCTAATTGAACGCCCTATACAGGAGGGGAAGAATGTAGCGGACAGTTCATATAGAACCGGTCGACCAACTTTAACCAGTGATTTATACCATTAGCGGCTTGTCACAGCCATTAGAACTTCACGGCCGATGGAACATTTGGATGGCCATAGCATAGCCGTGTTTAACGTAGCCATAAACAAAATGCTTTGGAAGGATGAGAATGCACCCTAACTCATTTACAACAGAGCGAACTACACAACTACGAGGGAGTATTTTCAACGCTACTCATGGCCACTAGAAAGGTGGAAGCTAACGATGGATGACCACTGGGAAATCGTGAGGGATATCATTCCGATTTCTATACTTTGCAAAATACCTCAGGCAAACATAACCGGCAATAAAAACTCCCGAATTATGTGCGGCACAGAACGCAGGCTATATGTCAGTAGGAGAGCTTGGCACAAGTGAAAAATCTCCCTAAATGATCCTCATTGTAGGGCTTACTTGGTACTGAGAAACAGATACAACGCTGAGGTCTGAAGCGACAGGTATTTTTAGGTAAAACTAAAATGTAAGGTAATTTTAAATATCTCTACGGATTTTTGACTAAAAGAAAACCTATGGGCCATGAGATCTCTGCTCTCAAAGAGCTAACCGGCATAGATTATACCATTTTAAAGATGGTAGAAATCGTTGGTCACAACTTCACCGACCAGTTAATGTAGAAACCTACAAGAGTGTAACCTGACAATCCGGGGAATGTTCAACTAAATCCCGGGTTAGTACTAAGAAAACTAAAAATTCCTTCACCCGTGAAAGTTATCAGGATGTGGTAAGATCTGGTAAAGACTTACTTGAGTTTTAAAGGGATTTTAAAACAATCAAAAAGTGGACAGTAGGCAATAGGTTAAAACTTTCAAAATATCATACGATGGACATTTCGCTACACAGGACACAAACAACTTACGTCTTCCATAAAAGAACGCTACCGACTGTCTCCTTAGAGTGTAGTCTCATGCTAGTAACCGGACAGCTTATAAGCCAGCCGAAACTACATAGGAGATGCAGCCAAAACAAATGCAACCCTCCGCTTTATTGGGAGACAACTTGACGCAATAACCTAAAAATTGTCCCAAACTCAAAAACACATTAAGTGCACCAAGTCACCTCAACACAAGCATTCTCCCAGAACATCGCCACACCACTCGAGGCAACATCCGAAAGACTATGCATCAAAGAGTGGAAACCATGGCCCATCGCCACTTTTTCACCTTAAGAGTCTCACCCACGTGTAACGCAGATTGGAAGTGGCCATAGCCTCCTCAGTGGACGGCTTCAAGAGGAGGTCCGACAAACACGTACTCGCCCGTGTTTTACTATCTCCTGTCTGAACCAGCTGTGCCTGATGAATGTCTCGTGACTTGCCTACTGTTTTTATTACGATACTCAGTAAGTACTTCCTATTTCGCTTAGTAATATTATTTCTGTTCTCCCTTCTATTTTTGCACTTTGGTCTTCTCACACCGTCTGGATCACCAAGCAATTAACTTATTCATTTCGTGAAAAACTCGTGTTCTCCTGGCATCGGAATTTGTTACTACTAATAACAGTGCGATCAGTCGCAGCCAGTGACTGGAGAACTGTTGATATCCGGACGTCCCACTGAACTGAGACGAACGCACTCACTAGAATTACAAGATTTTCAAATTCACAAATAACTATCAAACCGATCAGAATCAGTGGTGAGTCGGCTAGATTGCCACCCACTGGATACTACCAAATACCTGGAAAACCACCGAAACATCATGAAGTGAGCGTAAAGAAATTAATCCGTATATACAAGCTCGTGACAAATATATTGGATATTGGTCGCTTTACGATCCAGAAGTACTGTCCTGACCTTGTTTTTAATCCTCAAACTTTATGCTGTGTTCGTACGCAACAAAAGTACCATTTTTGATCTATATGACCTGTCCTGAGCTTAACTTTCGTTAGATTATCTTACTTCTTGTGCTTTATCCGGGTTAATAGTTCACTGTGATTTTTTCTCAGCTTAACATTATATCTTCAAAGTTCTTCATATTACGGTCAGTTTTAGTTCATCTTAACTTTGTCGCTACCCGTTTTTATCCATTTTATCCGTTTAGACTGTATTGTTCCTTTATTCATGACCGTGAACTCTTGTTAAGGTTTGTTTAGCGGCTTAGACTTTACCTTGGTCACTAGGGTCACTTGTGAGCAACCTGAATGCTGCTTTGTTATCGTCTTTGGCATGCAGCGTGAGGTTCGAAATGCATGCACAGACCCTACAGTAATTGCCTACAACAGTCTTGTTAAGCTAGATCGGAAGTGGGTATGTGGCATATGCGACGTGAATGCTGCGGATTTGCTGATCGGTATGATCATTTTCCTGATAGGTCTGCGGAAACAATTGTCAAAAACCCTGATAAGGGGCAGCCGTAAGATAAATAAATAAACAAGGGGACTCACTGAGGTAAAAAAGTGAGTCTTCAGTAACGTTGGCATGCATCAACACAAGTGAGGATATTATGAGACTCGAAATCGCCACTGCATTGACGGTGCTAAACTCAATAAACCTGTGTCCCCTGGCACAGACTCTCCAGGTGCGACTATGACTCTCAAAATGTTTACCGTAGGTGACTGGTCCCTCGTCGACAGGGTTAAAATGGATCAAAAGTCACTGTCAAAATCGCTGAACAGCAGGTTTGTACGAAAATCAACTGATAAATCAACCGTGACATCTACCCCCAAGATTGCCCAAAGAGTTAACAAAATGTAAGGAAAGTCGGACCGCAGTATAACTGCGGAAAATAGCTCCAACACCAAAGTACTGAAAAACGTGGGAAAAAGATCGCAGTTCACGATGATTCTCTCATTAACATGAATCTTGATGACAGCTATTAGCTTTCTTTCACTCTGCAAACAGAAAAGACTGGATGCTCTGGTACGAAAAATTGAACAGAAGGCAAAAAAGTCTCGAAATTGAGCCATCAGCAGTTATTCAGCTTAACAAGGGGAAGGATAACAGACATCAAAATCATCCAAGACTACGTGAAGTAATGTTTACAAACTGTTGTGGCATGGAGGATGTTTCGCTGGTCAGTCGCTTGTCAAAATCAGAATCGTATATCACGGTACTGACTGATGAACCATATCCTCAGCGCAATCTCATCAAGGAAGAAATATCATTGTGCGTGATGTCCCAGAAAATACGGACCTTGAATTTACAGCCCTTGAAGCTCAAGAACGTATCAAACTAACAAACGATGTGATTATCCAAGACCCCAACCAATGAAGATAACCTCCTTATCCTCTCAGATGGTGGCTCCCACTCTCTAAGAATTTCGCATTAGCAAAAGCTGGTCGCCAACTGGAATCTACATACATCCGGACAGGTCACATGGTGCAAGGATTAGGCACAAATCAATATCTTAACTAACTATTCCACCTATTTTCTGTCAAGAGCAAAGAAACTACGTAGGAGGGACAGGGACTAGCAAATTGGAAAACCTTGTGTACGTGGGTTTTTTGTCCATTCACTCAGGGTTCATTCAGATAAACAGGACAGGGGAGCTCATGCGCCTCACGTCGAAAAAAAGAACTGCCTCAAAACTAACGCTGAGAATGTACCGAGCAGAAATGGATGATTTTCATGAACCAATTAACTATAATAATAATCATCCGGCAAGAATAATTGAAATATGAACATCTTATCAAATTACAGACTAAGAGCTTACAAACCATGCATTTGTTCCGCAGCGATGGAAAAATAGGAACGAGGAGAACAGCAGCCCTTTATCTACGATCTTGCTTAGTGGCACATCAATTTAACACCTAAGAGTTGGAGTAATCTACAGGAAGCCGACTGCTAGCACAAAGTATGGCAATCAAATGTCTTGTTTATCACTCTCTTTTCGTCTCGGATGCACTCATGTATTGAGTGTAGAAGACTTCAATCTTCCTAAAGTCCATTTCGTTGTGCACACATAAAGTGAAGTTGACAATTCTACTGAAGCCCGGTAATCAAACTTCATTCTAGATCGGGGATTATTCGAAACAGATCGGTTGCAAAATATTCAGACGCCGTCGTGCCTAGACTGCATTTTTACGAACGAGGAATTCTTAATTGTCAACTTTTCATTATTTTTTACCCCAGGGAAAAGTGATTATACCTTCGATTTTATCTGCAAAACGGAGCTGAATCATCATATTAACAACATGAATTGGAATTAAAAACGACTGAACATATCAACCTTACAGTCAATCTACAGCAGGTTGACTGGGACACTCTTACTTAAATTAGTGTGAACACTCACTAGAATTTCTTACTGCACACGATATTATGTACTACAAAAGAACCTGTCCACAAACAGTCTTCGAAACTTAAAAGCAACACACAGTCACAAAGAATCGCGCTCTTTGAATGCTAAGATGCAGAAGGTACTTCAAGGCGGAATGCAAGTAAAGTAGTGACGGCATCACATATAAGCACTTCAAACAAGAAAGGAAACGATGCACAAGGGCAGTAAGAAAAGACAGACTTCAGTATCAAGTAGAGCCAATCGATAAATTCGTCTCCAATCAGAAGAGCTTATTCCATCTTGCGACCTCCCTTCAATAAGCAAAACCCGAAGTTGCTTGTTGATATAGAGAGCTAATGAGGAGTAGTGAAGGGTCAATAGACAGTAACCAGAGGTGACCTGAAGGTCGATTGCATTTCGTCGGGGTCAACAGGTCATTTTCCTAAAGATAGATCGGCATTTATACAAGTGAGATTTCCGTATTCCATTTGGTAGCCTGATACACTTTCCTGCCTATTCTTGTGTTCTCGCTCAAATAGTCAGTTTAGTGTTGCAGCATAGCAAACGTGCATGAGCGTCAGATATCGAACACCACATATCACAACACATAATGTTAGGTTTTAACGAATCAGCCAAAAACGATGGTGATGGCACAACGCACTTGACAGAAGATTATACAGACTACGTCCGATAGAGCTTCACCTGAAACTCAAAAGAACCCTCGGAATTGGGCCTGTCTTGGTATATCAGAAACTACAGCATCTAAACAAGGACACGTCTCTTGGTCCGGATATGGTTCATTCTGCTACATTGAAAGAAACGTCTCTAATCTTGGCAAAATGCTTTGTGTGATGTTCTCACATTCGCTAAGTCGAGGTGCGACCCCGAGAAATTGAAAGGTGGTGCATATTACACCAATTTTCAGAAAAGGCTGACGCAGTGAACCTCTAAAGATGTCACAGGTATTCGGTGTTTGATAGTGTCGTATAATCGTAGTGTGCCAACCGAGTTACATCAAAAGTCAGAAATGAAGTGATTTGAAGATATATTTGGAAGAATATAAATATATCGAGAAGCGTTTTGTTTAAGCTGGCTAAAGGTTTCGACGGGTATGTAGCACGGCTCATCGATCCGTGATTTGGTAAGGATGCGTGACGGGACGCCTTCAGCTAGGTGTGACCATCAAAAGTAATGATGTCAGCATTAAATGCCGAGGACTTACAGAAATTTTCATTTTAGGGATTTATTTACCGCTACTTCTTTAAGCTACGGTCGGTAACATTTCTCCCAACACCCGCAGAAGTTACAGAGTCTATTATATACGATGTCCTACGTGAATGTTTATGATCCATAAACTTCTTTCTACCTCAACAGATCGGTTCAGGAAGAGTCACTCTTATATAACCAACCTGCTGACCACAGTGAACAACAATCCTTGATCGCAAAGAGAAGGTTTATGCCATATACCTAGATTTCTCAAAAGCCTTTGATAGGGTCAACTATAAATGCTTCTTCAATAAGATCAAAGTGCTCGGTGTAGCGACCAAACAGCCAATATTCGGATGGAACAACGGACTGACGAACCCAAAATTTATTTGATTAGACCAGGCCATGTTCCTCTGTATAGCTCACAATGCGTTTTTGAGATGCTCGTATTATATTATATCAGAACACAAACTCTGTGCTCAGTATAAACGGTTCTAATTAAGAAAACAGCAAATTACATAAAAAATAGAAAATACCTCAAACGCTACAGCCTGTGCTATACAGTCAGAAGTTTCTCTAACACAAAGTAGCGCGCTAAACAATGAAAGAGACAGTTAATACTAAAGAGTTTGATACCTGAAAATCAATACAAATATTCCCAACAAGAAGGGATCAAATATCTATCTGTAGGGATTCCAGCAATCCTCCAAGCAGACAGTCAGAAGGTTGACAGCCACACACTGAACCACGGCGTGACCTTGAGCTTAGTCAAACACGACCTTACTTTCAATGGTCCGGCAAAATGCAATAGACAATTAGGTATCAAAAGAAAAGTCTTTGATCAAAATCGCATAATGAAGGCTCAAATGAGGAAGACTGGAGAACAAAAGATATGGTTAAACGATATCGGAACAAAGGTTGAAATACACAACAGGGAGAAGGAACAAATAAATGACAATACTGTTCAACAAGGAAGCTGTAGAGGGATTTTCACTGTTCTCTTTCCGTTACACTCGGTATCGATTCACCGTCAATAGAATGGATTGCTTCATATCTAAATAAACGACGCTTTAAAGTTATGGTGAACTTTACATTGTATCGAGATGGAGAATGTTTTATTTGGGTCCTCAAGATTTCAGTACTAGGTCCTTTTCTTTTGATAGTTTATATAAACAACCTTTCTCAAGAAGTACCGTCTGACTTGTCATTTTACGCCGACTATGTGAAACTGTAGAACAAATTTCACAACCAATATGACAAGCTGGCACTTCAGGGGGATAAGACTCGAACTTAAAGTTCAGCGGGTGACAACGGACTTACTTTAAACACTACAAAATACAAAGTAATTCATCTGAGACATATAACAGACCACTCATACAACTTGGGCAACTCCTCTTTGCTAGTATTCCAAGTTGGAAAAGATACGGTGTGTTTGTACCCTATGATTTGAAGTCCTACGTTAACTGCGACTGCTTTTGGGAGAACCTTGCACTGGTAACGTCGAAGCATAATTTTCCCAGTTTGGTTGTAGAACTTTCCACTTGATCTTCAACAGTCTTATTCGACCCCATTCAGAGTATAGGAATATAGTGTATCCTCCACCACTCTAAAAGGATAAGAATACATTACAACGTACTTAGAAACAAGCTACGAAATTAGCTCAAGAATTCGAACTCAAACTTTATAAAGAGCGCCTCAAATCAACGAATATTTGCTAATCAGAATACAGGGGTCTCAGAGGTGTTCTTCCAATGAATTACAGCATCCTAAACATGTCACGGCATCCCCTTAAATTCATGCATAAACTCAGTCTCAACACAAACCCTAAGGGTAACATCCAGAGACTAGAGACACGACATAGAAGAACGGACTGTAGGACCACTTTCTACCTCTTAAGAGTAGCCAAACGTTGGAATTCGCTGCCGGATGAGCTAGTTCATGTGACCTCCCAGGAGTCCTTTAAGAGTTGACTTGACATATTCTTAAGGATTAGGGACAGTATATCGCATTAGTTTACCAGTATTTTTCTCTCATTATCGTTAAATATACCCAGGTTCCCGCCTAATGGCATCAGTGATCAAGTGCTACTGGATATGGAAGTCTGTTAGGCAGAAGATTTATTCCATCCCGAACCGTGGATTTCAATTGATGAATGTTCAAAGCAAGTATGTCAGGTAAATAAAAGCCTGAGGCAAAGTTGCAGCAGTAATATTATCAAAAAAGCGTGAAATTAGTGGAACAAGAGGGAATAGGACTAAGTTTGTCTCACAGTAGTCAATTGAGAAATGAATGCAACAACTTGTTTTTACATTTCAATGTCATAGGTACTTTTTACCTGTAGTTAACCACAGTTATAAAAATGACTGTTGATGTGACTTCAAGGTTGCATGAGCAGTCTGAGCTGATAATGACTCTAAAATCAAGAGCTGACTCTGAGATGGAACGCCGTAAGCAAGCTGAATGTAAATTATTGAATGAACTGAACAAAAGTCACGATCTCCAGCAACAGCTTTTGGAATGCCAACAGAGGCTAGTAACTTTAATAATGACATCATGTCGACTATTTACAGAGTTTCCGATGCTGAAGTCAATAACCGCGTGTTGCGGTCTACAATAAATGATTTGAGTTATGAACTTTTTAGCAAAACTCTAAGTAAGAATACAAACACTGATTTAACGAGAAGAGATACATCTGTTCAAACTGGGGACGAATTTTGTCAAAGTAAAGTGGTTTCAGTTGAGGCTTCAAATACAAGAAGTTTTAAGCAATATTTATGGAAGTTCAGGTTTGTCGTGATCAGTATATTGTTAAGGCAGCTGACAATGATAATTTTGCTTATCTTAAAGAAGATAAAGGTTACTTATTACATTCCTTCTCCTGTATTATCATCTTTCAGCTAAAATTCATTTAAATTGACTCAGATCAGAGAGCAATAAGTCGAAGGGTAGGGTATATTTCATCCGAAAGATTGGTAATAAAAATGGAATTTTATATGAAATTCAAATAAGGAAACATTTGATTCGTTTGACGGCTTTAATTTTTCCCATGTGAGTTTGATTTGGGCATGAAGTCGTCAGGGTTTCTTGATGAAATCCATTTGCATCAGTCTGATTAGTTTGTGTTTCTGATTTATCTATCTCGCTAGTTAATCCTTCGCTACTTTCTTTATGTCCAATAAACCGGGTTTGATTGTCTTCTTTGTTTCAATTCCACAGGTATCTAATTGAATGTTAAACCTTATTCCATAGTTATTCTAACTGCTGGGAATACAAACGCTTACAATCATTTAACATGTATTCAAATTGAGTAACTAACACATCTGTGCAAAATTCAGTCATCTGTCTATTTAAGGGGTTTAAAGCTAGAGTTTACTGACCTAAAGTTATTTAGTCATAAACACAGAAACCGACAAAACTATCCATCAGTTCAAGTTGACAAACCATCTAAAAACTACAAGAGGATATTATGTGGATGAATGTCGAAGTAACAGAAATAGTAACAGTTTTTCTAGCAATTAAAAAAACAAACAAAGTTAAGTGATTGACTTATTTGTTTTGAAAAGGATTTCGCTAGCTTTACCCAAACCTGCTATATATTCATCATCGTGCATCTAGGAAGAAGGTGGTTGAATGTACACAATATATGACTAAAGATTATCCTTTTGTGCTCTACAGTATTGGTTGGATTGTTTCCAAGCAAATCCGTCCCTTTGGGACTCATGAACTGGAGCTATAACAATAACGCCGAAGAATGTACGCAAACTTGTGTAGCAAGATGGATTTATAGAAACCTCTTTAAAAAATTGTGATCCTCTTCCAGTTATACTTTCTCAAAGAGTTTTTCTATGTACCAAAAAATTGTTCGGTTTGTTTGGCTGGGAATAGAACGGTGTTTATCCGATCACACTGACTCCATTTTGTCCTAAAGCAAACTTGGTATCTTTTCTTGCTGACAGATGAACTTCTACTGTTATCCAGTGGTCACAATAAAAACAAAAGTGGAGTTTCTTTACAGTTTGCTCACTAAATGTTAACGTATCTTGATTAGAAACATTGTCTATCTGTCAATGAATACAAACGGTTCCGATAAGTGTTGACGGAAATGTCCACCAATACAAAATCTATCATATCTAAATAAAAAATATAGTGTTCTGCTGTCAATTAGGTAAAATACTCCATTGGGATATAATCCATTGAAGAGGAACTGATAACATAGCTAATCAATAAGTTCCGAAATAGTAACGGGTGTATTTTGAATGATTTTGTTAGAAGGTTTCATTTACAATGAACTAAGTAGATCTTAGATTTGGCTGCACAAGACAGTGATGTCAGATGAGCTGTTAATCTGGAGACAATAAAATACTATTGATTGGGATCATAACAAACTTTTTATCAAACAGTCAATGCAAACGAAGTCACTGAAATTGATTCCTATAATAGGTGCTTCCAGAACAGATTATTACGTTTAAAGATTGCATGCTCAACGCAAACTCAAATTTGAACACTCCGACTTATCAAAATGGAAAAAATTAAGGCCGTCAAACGAATCAAATGTCTCCTTAATTGAAGTTTATATAAAATTCCATTTTTATTACCAATCTTTTGGTTGAAATATACCTTACCCTTGGACTTATTGCGTTCTGATCTGAGTCAATTTAGATGAATTTTAGTGGGCAGATGGTATCGAAAGAGGAAACATGTAATAATTTTGATTTTTTTGGTAAAACGATTACATTATTAAGGCACTGTGGCGTTGAATACTGACTTGTTAGCATGTTCTAAAAGGATAAAAACCTCCGCTTCATACATACGATTGATTATTTACTTACGTCAAGTTGGCTTTATGAACAGTATGAAGACAAAATGCTTCATAAGGGTTCCATTGGGAGTTTTCATCAAATATTACCCCTGTTAATCACTATTTTAGATTCTCCGAATAATGTATTCGTGCGTCGGATACTTAGCTAGTTATTGCCCTCAACTTTGTCTTGGAGCTTATCAGTATCAAAATTTAATTCGCTGTTGGTTTAGCGGTAGAAATATAGTGCACTGGTGAAGTGAGTTCTCATTATATGATAAAAAATATATTCATCAACGAGATTGTTAAGGGGATTACTCGAAATGTTCGGAATGCGCTAGTTGCTATGTTTTTAAACCTGGACTAAAAATATATGCAGTTAGTTAGTGATATGTTGTTTAAACAAGTTTAGACTTTAGATGTCTTAATTTTACTTTTATAAAGAAATTCTTGAAATAAAACCGATCTACACACTCTGTATCCTCTAAGTTTAGAACTTTTAACTGCATTCTTGTCGTCTGCTGATAGTTCTTAGTTTTACTTTTTCAATGCAATAAACTAGATTTCAGAACATGTAGAAGTCTAAATCTTGAAACTATATAAATTCTCCTAAGAATAAATGGCATATAAATTCATCTATTTAGGTAAAGTTGAAATACCATTTGAGAAAACAATATCACAAGCAAACGTTTGTATAGAATATTTATTAATCAAAACGTCGAAGTTCCGTTTGTAAGAGAACATTTGGATAGTAGCAAAGTTTCGAACAACATGTCGTTGATCATATGGTCATTTGCCTAAATCCTACCATAACCTGAATTCTATCTCATTCAAATCATTTTTGCATTGTTTTATGATAGGATAATTGTCTTGGCAAAATAGCAACATAAATGAGGCATATAGACTTATAGTTTCAGAATGGATACCTCTAACAGTACTCTGATAGAATGGATTCTTAGCTAGTCAACTGACCTAGCGTTAATCTAAGTATACAGGCATTCACTTGAATTTACATTATTTATATGCCAGAAGTTTTATTTTCAAAATTTTATGGCATTGTTTTCATGACAACGAGATCAACGACGCAGGTTCTTGTGAGTGTACTTTTCTTGGCCGTTTACTTCCCTTTCTCGATATCTAGTTGCTTTTGCCTGGCATAAAAGAAATTAAAGAAATATACAACTCGTCTACAATGATTTTATAATGGATTTTGTACATTTGAGTAATTTGAGTCATATGATGCTTAATCACAGTATAAGTTGCAAGGAATATATAGTACTGTTTTTTCTGTATTTGAAGGGAGTTAAAAAAAGAGAATAATAAACTTTTACAACTGACAAACGAGATGAGATCAATATGTACACAAAATCTCAAAACAATTCAAAATCGTTTGAATTGCCTGACAGACTTAATCTCGACAGTTTGTAGTTCTTATCTAAAAGTAAATCAAGCCTATCATAATGATAATGTCAAGTGGAGAAATGAAAGACAAAACTTATCCTTACATCTAGAGAATGAAAAGCATTTAACTGAAGTAGGTAGTATATTATTGAAAATTACTTTGACGATTTGAAAGATATCCTTATTGTGTGTTTGGTGTAAATGATTTAACTGTTTGATTGAAATCACCAGAATTCTACATAACTTCAGCTTAGTTGTCTGAAATTTAGGAAGGTATGAATTCCCCATTTAAATACTCATTTATCAGACGTTATTGATCACTTGGAAATATCACTCAATGGTTACTTAGTAGTTAGAGATAATAAGACAACAAATCATTCATGTGCATTAATTTCTAGAACTGAATTAAATTCTGGCAGTTACTCTTCACGAAAAACACTACCTGGTTCAACGGTTCAAAATTTTCGTGATAAATGATAGTATGCATACACTAAAGTTAATAAAAGGTCAATAATACGGTGGTTGTAATCCAAATCGAGAAACTAAATTTTGAAAAATAGAGATATTTAGTGGTTTGAGCTATACACTCTCCAAACGAAACAAATTACACAGATTTAAATAGATTGAACCATCATTTATGGATGAAGACATTCTGAATTTAATTACATAGTAACAAACCCATTATCAACTAATGGCACTTTATTAAGGACATTTAGTTAGTATAATTAGACTGCTAACATCAGAACTAGCTAACAAGTTAGTACAGAGATATATCTGTGATCGTTGAATCAAATCATTACTCACATGAATTTAAACCGAATAACTCAATTTACTCCGAATTGTTTCACTAACATTCGAGCAGTATTATTGGATATTCATGCAAAATTCAAATGCAATTTAATTAAAAATTTACATTTAAGGGTTTTTTAAACAGTAAAATTGTGGACATTTAAAGACTTAGATAAATAAATATCAAAACACTTGCTCCCCAAGAATGTCTGGTAGTAGATAGGTCTATGTCATCTAAGAAATTATCTCAGTCAAGTATTTTGTGTTGTACAATTTGGGTACAAACTAAATCATTATCGTAATTTGGATTTTGTGAAGTGACAATGTTATTGAAATTGCTTTAAAGATATCGAATGGTATTTTGAAACTTGGTAAGAGGAAATTTAAGATGTTCTTATCTTGCCCTGAAGTTTTTTAGAGGCAAAAAACACAATCTTTAGGAGGAGTTATAATAGTCAATATGCTTGTCGCAACAAATGTTATTCGAAAGCATTTTGAAACAAATTATCCTCAAGTGATATTATTTTTTGAAAAAAATGGTTTGTGGTGATTTATTACATGAAACCGTTGCAAGTTCACAATTGTTTATGAAAATGATACCATCAAATTTCCGAATACCATCTCATCTGGTTAAGTAAAAGTAAATGAATGTTGATTATAAGTTTTATACTTGGTTGATTAACGCAAGACATCAAGTAAACTTAAACAACTATTTTCATGTTATCTTCTGTGTACCACAAAGTTTTCAGCATGGTTTCCATGTATATCTTTGGTTATAACTGAAACGATAGGGCTCCTTACTAACAAACCTAACCTTTATGTTCATAGAAAATCGTGCGAACCATTTCTCTAACTTGGCATCATAAAGAACAAATTCACTCTTGACTGATTGGTTTTTGTCATAAATTGTGGCCTGTGTGCCCTGTTAATGTATAATGTGATGATACCGCCAATTAGAGAACAATGATTTGTCGATCGGACCAATGACGCATAAAACCCGTACGAGCAGTATAGAGTACTTATCGGTCCTGCTTCCCGCCTATCCCAGCCAGTTAAGTCTAGAACACCAATCTCAGCCTCTGTGATATGAATCATTTATTTCAAACATACTGAGTTTATATACAAACCAGACAAACCACATCGTAACATAAAATAGGAAACGACATTTGTACAAGATTTAGCCAAATGTGGCTGTGAATATGGGGGGGGTAGTAATCGATAGACAGGGCATAACTCAAGAATGGTAAATGGTATAATAACAGTTCATAGGTCAAAATAAAGCTTATGATAAGAGGAACACGAACATGAATAGTTTAGTCATTTAACAATTATACAATATAAATATACGCGTAGCATTGGTTCATAAATGGGTCCTCAAAGTTACCATTCATTATTCTCTTCAGGATATAACAGTTTTATTTTTTGTTGAGAAGTTTAGAACGTGAATCAAATCATAATAGTGAAATGTAATATTCTATCACAGAGACTAAAAGTCCATGGTTTTCTTCTCGGTTTTACCATAAATGGACATAACGAAAATGTCCTGAATTAAGAATGATGAATATCTCTCAAGTATCGAAGGATCTACACATATAATACAGATAATCTCCAATAGTAATGGAAATTACATTCAAACTAAAAAGAAATCAGAACGTTTGATCAATAAATTTCAATAAAAATCAACTAATTTTAGTAATAATTAATTCGGTAATTCTAAGTTCATTATCTTTTCTTTCAGGAAATACGTATTAAACTAAATATCATGGAAGCAGAGAAGAAAAAAATAGAAAAGGCCATAAACAAATTAAAAGAACAAAGAGAGTAAGTTGTTATATGAATGCTGTGGAGACTTTTAAATAGAAAGTCACTTTTGATGGTAGGCTATTCTAAAACTAGAAACCAAGATCACAGTTTTACTGTTGAATTAAATCCATAAATCTTTTGCATATTAATGCATGACTACATAATTAGCATTGATTAAAGAATAAAATGACTATATTGTTTGAATATTACCTAATAAAAAGGTATAAGTTTAGTTGCTTTCCTGTAATTATTAGCTTTCGTTTATCATACAACATGTGGAAATCATCTGAGATGTCGAAATCCGATTGTTTATGATTTGAATGTCAATGTGATTTTTTTTGTAATTTGTGCATTTTTTCAATGAAAAACTTTTTATATAGTACAATTTTATAAGCAACTTTTCAACTATCGAAAATAATGAGTAGAATACTAATCGGTCGATGATATTCAGTAATACAGTGTGATTAAATGGATGGCTGATCACTTGATCTAGTTATTGACATAATGCCACAAATGATTTGAAATAAAGCATAGAACCCTTAATCGGGAAAATGAATATTATGTGATCAAATGACATAATATAACATGATGAAATATCATGGATAATAGAAGGGAATCAGTCTTGAAAATCACTGACTTTCTAATCAATTAAGACTTGAGTTTTAAATTTAATTATCAGGAAGAGACGAAATATAACTCGGTAATTTTATTAAATTTGTTAGTTAAATCGTTTTGATCTACTGATTTTCTAAGTAAATTATCGGTTAGCTGACAGTTCAACGCATTTAAATTGTGTTCTTTTTTACTGGACGACAATTTAAAATGAAAAAAATGTTTTATCAAAAGGGGTTTTGTGAAGATTTCAGAAATTTCACTGATTGAAATCATGAGTCAATTGAAGCTAGACCACCATGAAAAACCTGGAAGCACTGGACGGCCGTTTCGTCCCATTACAGGACTCCTCAGCAGTACGCATCCACGATCTCTCACCCCGCGAGATTCGGACCCCGGACATATCGGTCTCGCTCCAGGCGCTTAACCAACTGAACCACTGAGTCGACATCCAACGGTGTTAATGTCTAAATTCAACCAATCCACGAAGTTGCGCCACCGTACACCATTGTCTTCAGTGAGATGATATCTCACAACAGACCTGGTTGAACTCTACTGGTAACGGCTCCTCACTAGGACTCCAGGAGTATCTCTTGAAGTCAGTCACTAGTGAGCAGATGTTATTATTTTTTAGATGTCATTTTAATCAGTAGTTTGTTTGCAAATAAATCTTTATCTCACAGTCCTGTCTATTTATTACTTCAAGTCATTTCTAGTCTTATTCCTTTGAACACATGACAAACAGTTATAACTAGCAACCAGATTAGTGATAATAATTTACATTTTTATCAAGAAATGACATTATTAATTCTTGTTCAACACATCGTAGTTGAGATATTTTGACTGGATTCATTTCCCTTTTTAATTTTTTTTTCATTTATACCTTTTCTTTTTAACCATAGAAATGAAATGAAAGAATTTAACGCTAATAAACAAATAAAGCGTTTAAAAGAAGAACTTGACATTTCTAAACTTCAAACCGAACAAATAAGACAAGTATGAATTTATTTCTTTTAAAATTTATTGTTTTAATGGTTCGTTATTATCAGTAGCAAAAGTCGGGATTGCTGTGTTAAATTATGTACAGATTAGCTTAGACACTAATTTTTTTTAAAAATAATGACAACAACCTACTAATAAATTTAAAGTAATTGGGTGAAAAGTTTTTTGTTGTAATACGGCTTTATTGATCATTGATGTTATTTGGGAATGCTACAACACAGCCATTAATTACTGACATATTAAATTATTTTGCTTTAGCACAAAAATGCTAATGAGATATGTTGTGATCTTTGTACATCCATATATACACTAAATCAAGGTATAAAAAAATATCTTAATTATGAGTATAACAGAATAAGGACATCGCCTTAATCAATAACATGAATGACCGTGAGGAATGACCACGAAAGTTGTAAATCCTATTGGTTTGATTACCCTATTCTATCTGCGATAGCTAGTCAAAAAACAAATACAACAAGTTAATAAACCTTTGATTATTTTAGTGTAAAACTCACAGGATAACATGTATTAATTACATGACTACACATGAAAAATTAGAAGTCGTAATTCGTACTTAACTAACTTATAAGTAATTTAATAGTTGAATTCATGAATCCATCAAAACTAGACCACCATGGAAAACCTAGAAGCACTGGACGGCCGTCTCGTTTCAGTATAGGACTCCTCAGCAGTGCGAATCTACGATCCTCCCCGCGGGATTATAAACTATGACCTATCGGTCTCGCGCGCGAACGCTTAACCTCTAGATCACTGAGCCGGCATCCAACGGTGTTGATGTCTAACTTCAACCAATCCGCGAAATTGCGCCACCGTCCACCATTGTCTCCAGTGAGTTACTATCTCACAACAGACCCGGTTGAACTCCACTGGTCACGGCTTCTCATTAGAACTCCAGGAAATGCCTCATGGAGACAGTCACTATTGAGAATATGATGATTATAACCAGAAAGAGGTTTTGTGGATATTATAGTAATTTACTAGTTGAATTCATGAGTCAATTAAAGCTAGACCACCACGAAAAACCTGAAAGCACTGAACGGGGTCGTGGTTGCGCACAGTTGAGGAGTCCAATACTAAAACAAAACGGCCGTCCAGTGCTCCTAGGTTTTCCATGGTAGTCTAGCTTTAATGGACTCATGAATTCAACTCTTAAATAACTAAAATTTCCACAAACCTTTTTTCTGATTATAAATTATAAGTGATACAAAAACTGATCAGTAAGTGACTAATTAATTAATGACCCCAGAACATTTGGACGGTATGATAAACTAATTATTTCTTAATTACATATCTAAAAGATATAATAATTTACCGTATAATAATTTTAAAAATCTAGTCTTCCATAAATATCCACTCTCATCTAACAGAACTAAGCTATGAATACCAACCAAATAATAAGACATAAAACGTATAGATTGTTTCGTTAAGAAAGTGAAACCAAGATAAAATACTTGTGAATTATTTATAATGTTGAAAAAAAAACGATTAAGGGCATTCGAAACTTCATCTTTTCTAATAATTCAAAGTAAAATGGTATAGTAGACGATGTTTTAATTTAATACCGCTTAGAGTGCTAACCTTACTATGATCTTCTATCATGGTTATTTTTTATATTGTTAGACTTTTACCAGTATTGTACCTTGATTCTAACTAGAAGTAGTGTTTCAAACAATTTTACAACATAGTATTTCTCTTTAAAATAACTTTTTTTTTAGAGATCTAACGCATCTATGGACCAATAGGTAGCAATTATTACTACGTTGTTAAGTCCATAGTAATAGTTAGATTCTACTAGACAAATAAAAAAAAATGTAAACATTAAGTTAAATGACTTGTCTATCCATGTATTTTGACTGAATGTCAAGATTCCTGGGGCCAAACTATAAACTTACTTTACAAAGTGCAAACGAATTTGTAAATCAAGCAGATTAATTAATGTATTTGGTTCAGTATGATAGAAATGATTCATGTCTCAAATAATTTAGAAGTGACATTGGTAAATTTAACTCAGAATGCCTTAAATTCAACTTCAATATATTTTGTTGATATGTTTCGACAAACAAGAAACATAATTCTCCTGATATTCTTTATCAATATTGTCAAAGCTTGAAAATTCTTTTCAATAATTTCTCATCAGGTTCTACAATTATCTCATCCAAATTAATAATCCATAAAATTGACCAGATTTAAGGCAGATTACATCATCATTTGGAAATTGTAATATGTGAATTGAGAATTGTTGTTTGTCATGTGAAATCAAATCGAATCGTTAATGTTGGGGTTGACTAATGTGAAGTGTTAACTTGAATCAGTTTATAAGCGAAATGAAATTGTGCGATAAATGATCAGAATAAATATGATCAAGATGGGGTGAGAGAGAAAATAATGGGATAAAAATCAGAAATTACGTAATATGTAGAATAATATGAATTAGGTCTTGAGATGGTGGAGAATTAGGTCAGATATAGCAGATAGGCGTGGATGCTGAATAAATTTCTCAAAAAGGTTATCAAGTGTAATCAGAATAATAATAACAATGATAAAGGTGATAATCACAATGGTAAAGATAATATTAATAGTAATAAGATAAGTTTGGGACATAAAATGAACATTAATCAGATTACGTCATCATATTATAAAATTAATTATTAACTAGTTGACCCCAAAGTTGGTCAGGGTAAAAGGAGTGGCTGAACATACTTCTTTTGGATGCAAAGCTCTGGCTTTTTGATCCGAATAGTAATTGCTTTAGCCGTCTGTAGGATTCGCAGTCTGACGGAATTAGGTAGACTGTTGTTAACACGATAGACTATTGCAAAAGATTGCTCCATGTTGGCTGTATGTCCTGTTTGAACTAGATGGTCTAAGATGGAGCTGTTAACAGTTTTGACTACACCTTTGCTTAACCACATGGGGAGGTGCTCACGAGCCCGAATGTACAAATTTCTAGAACATCTGCCAATATAACTTGCTCCACAGGAGCAGTTGAATTGATAGATATAGAAGGAGGTGGCTAGTCTAGATAATTTATCTTTCAGCATCGGAGTGATTATTGGTCGTGTGGAGAACATTAGTTGTAGTTTACCCGCATTAAAAGTCCTTTGAATTGATCTGCTTAACTTAAGTCTTAGCATTTCTTCGTTCATACAATTGTGTTTTAATATAATGGGAATTTTTCAGCGATTAAAACCTTGAAAAAGATATGAATATTCTCACTGGAATATTCAGATAAATTCGTATCAATCCATAATAAAACGAACTAAATTCCGTTTGTAAAACTAAATGATGATTAACTTTTGATTTATTCTTGTTAATCTCTAAGTTTAATGAGCAACGGTATGTTTATATTTATGGGTTTGTTATTATTTTGAATGTTTTTCGTGTCGTAAATGTAACTTAATGTACCGTTGTAATGATTGTCGTTATTCTTTTAATGTCGTTTAAAATTTGTGAAACTAAAAGATATTGTTTGTTGATCGTGATCTATTTGACAAGGTAGGATTCATTAGTATTTCATTCTTTATTTTCCTTGAAAAAGCTTGGACCAGATTGCCAGACGAAACGTTGGACTTTTATAAGCATCATAAGTTACTGATAAAAAATTTATTAAATAATATTCATTCGTCTGTCGAACTGAATAACAAATATGTTCCGTATTATATCAACTATTCAAGCTACTTTTATTTCTTAATAGTAGTCACTGAATAATAACTTTAATTAATTTATGAAACAGATAAAAATGTTGAAAATCGTTTTTCATATTGAGTGTGAAGTTTTCTATTAACAAATATGCATCAGTGGTATTCCGATAAAGAGGATATATAGGGGTGATATCTACTTACTATCATTGGTGTAAAAGTAGATTTAAGTCATAATCACAATAGTTGAGAGATTTAAGATTAACAGTTGTAGATCTGTTATGAAGAATACGAATATGAAATTTGGTTATACAATTAAGTAGTCGTAAAATAATTTTATAAGAAATTAATATCTGTAACATTCAATAAACTTTTGGAATTCAAATTTCATTTTATTTCGATCTCTTATAAACTTCGTGGATACAAGTGACTATTGAAATGGAAAATGATAGCATAAAAATAAGAATTTTAATTTAAAGAACAGATGGATTTTGACTAGCTAAGCGATTTAAAACTTGTGTTTACTTCTATTTAGGTTTCTTCAGCTCGATAGTCCTGAATCCCAGTGTTGATTTTCACATTTGAACTCAAACCCAATATCTTTGATATTATATATTGAGCTAGTGAGTTCAGATGACCAGTTAACAATTCACACAAAATGCATATGTACAAACAAAGACTGATCTAAATTCAACCCTGAATATCAGTGTTACGTCCTTGATCTATTTACCCACTTTTCTGCAGAGGATAACTTGTCTAATCTACATTAAGATCTTGACGCGATAAACTGACTGGCTTAACCTTGAGCCTAGTATGCTTGAGTTCGAAGTGAGATCAACTGCTTGGGATAGAGGGACGAAAACTATTTTATCACCTGATTAGCTGACAAGTACGCGAGTACAAGAAAACTAGTCAACTACAACAATATATGATTTATTCTCAGTTCCGACCTGGTTTCCGATTTCCGATTAGTGTAAAAAGATACATGAATAAATAGATGACTAACCAGACCACAACGCACAACAGTTAGGAAAAATACAATAGCTTTGGAACAAAAAAGGACTATGTCATTAAATCATACATCAAATGAAAGCTTATGATCTGTAGAATACACTAGGAACAAAAACAAATATTACTGCCCTACAAGCTTTGAATTAAATAAAATAACGTCCTGAAAAAAAATAGCTTCTTATTTCTCTGGTCACATCAATTAATCAAGGTGTAATCAATACCTTTTCATCACTGATGTCTTATATGCTTATTCGTCTAAAGTCTTTAGGTGGTATATATTGACAAAATTTGTTCAATACTTAGTTACTTTTGTTAGTTTTAATGGAAATGTATTTCTTTTTTCTTTACTAACAAAACATCTTTAAATGATTTAAATAGACCTCATGAATTTGTTTATTTATTTGAAGGATTTTGAAGCCTATAAAATTTATACAAAAGAACTATTGGATAATGAAAGAAGATTAAACAAGGAACTTCGAAAGTCGTACCATTGAAAGTGGCATGAATGATAATAGGAAATGATAATTTATCTTTGAAAAAGATTATTTCTTCAAACAGATTGAAGTAACCTATTCATATCATCTCTAATAAATCAATAAATCAAATTGATTCCGTTTTTTGTTTATTTTGTAGCAGACAAAATGTAAACAATTCCGTGAAACATCACAAACAAATTTAGAAGTGGTATCATTTAAAAGATAAGGTATAAAATATGGATTCTCAATAAATTTTGGTCCATTTTAGTGTTGAATAGCAGGATAATATGTTTACAAGACTTTTTACTATATGGCACTTTTCTTAGTGATTTAAAACATGTGTCTTGATTAAGTGTGCATAAAGCTATATCGAGTCAGTCAGTCAGTCAGTCAGCAACAATGTGGAACTTCGTACGTACGTACATCAGTTCAAGTTTCCATACCACATTAGCACAGAGATACAATCGCTGATTCAAATCCCATAGTGGTAGAGGTAGTAAAAGTAGAAGCAGTAATCGGGAACATTAGGGTTTGAATATGTTATTCAAGGAGTACAATCCAGCGAAATAAATTTGGAAAGAGAAAATAAGGACACGAAGAATTCAGAAGATTAGAATTTGGGAGAACACAGAGAGTGGATACACCTGCGCCATTGCAAACGATTTTGAGCCATGCCACTCAAGGTATTTAGCCATCGGTTGCTATCATCTCACGGATCCCAATCAGGTAGTCTACACCTACCAACATGACTCAGTCTACTTGTCAGTGACTTCATGGTTTTGTGCCATGTTTTGGTCTGGCCGCCCTTACCTTCCTTCCAACCTACTCCTATACCATCGAACATCGCACGTCGAGGCAGTCGGTGGTTGGGCATGTGTAACACGTGTCCCAGCCATCTCAACTGATGAAGTTTCACCACTTCATCAATTGATTCACCATCCTTACGTAGTACCCGTTTCCTAACAACTGCGTTACTTACTCGATGGTTCCAGGATATACGAGCAATGCTTCGAAGACACCTGTGATCGAATACTAGTTACAGTTGTATAACATTTAGCTGAATTCATAGAAACATGTTAGCTCTTTTGAAAATACAAAGACACATTTATATTGATAAAGTCAGTAACTTGTTTTACCTTCAGAAAGAAAGAAAATTTGAACTTATTAAGGCCTGTGTTATGAGAGCTGTTGTGTTGTCAAGTTTAATTGTTGACTTATTTGCCTACATTACCCTGTAGCATCAAGACCTCTTTATTCGATAACAAAGTAAACTCTTAACCAATAAATCAGTGACCGTGAATTACTACCGGAGAATCTAAATGTTACTGGTCTACTAGCTCCCCACAGTCAGAGGATGAAGATAACAAAGAGATTTCTCTCCTATTATGTTCTATTCTTTCATGACTCAAAATCATACAGTTACATACCTCAAATATACGTAGACAAATAGTACAAATAAGGAATTACACTATATACATAACTCAGTCATTATTTGTACAAAAATAAAACAATAGAGTAATAAACAATTAATGATAAATATGAAAGATCAAGAAATATAACATTGATTTGTAAGTCAGATGGAAGCTTACAAATAGGTAAACATAAACATAAACTGACCCAATCACTTAATAATTATACATTAAAAATATTAATGATAATTATCTACAGAATAATTTTAAACGTTCGACCTATTTGGAATCCTCAATATGACACTTACAAGTAGGTTTTTCTTTGTGAGAAATGTCAGTATGTTATGTGAGGATACAACAACATTCACACAAACTATGAATGTTTAGCATGGAATAAAAGTGGAGTATCAATAAGAAGTAGCTTAATTAAAAAGATATTTTAAATCGTTGGTTAAGTGGAAGTTTACTTCTTGTAGACTAATATATTTATAATCGGATGGATCAACTTAAACCATTCAAATATCATTACAGTGCATGTTTATTTTCGTTTAGAATATATGTAAAGAATTTCACTTTCGTTAAACTATAATCTAATTCAGTTATTTTTCAGGTTTTAAAGCTATGATATTTCTATGGCACATATTGATATTATAGTGTCGGTTGTTATGTTAAGCCCGCATAACTTGTTCCAGTTTCTGGACAAACTAATTTATTCATTTTACTCAAGATACATCTTGACCTTGTCAATTATTCGCTTATCAACCTTGATTGTTCTTATGTGAGTGCATTTCTTTTCTTACTCATTACATTTCTGCAACTTATATTTGTGTGACTATAAATATCGATTAGCGCTTGATTAACTCTAGTTGGCTCACACGCCTTCTCCATTGCATACCATTTCGTTTCGTTTCTTCGATCGTTTGTCTAAATCAATGATTGTATGAAATACACGTATTTGAAATTCATTATCGTATTTGATTTATTTAATTCCATTATTGGTCGACGTAATTTAGGTCGACGGTTATATACGATGATTAGCGATACGTATATTTCGATAACAAGCAGCAAACTACCTACCTGGAGTCAGATCTCGGGCCACTAAAATATAAGATGCTAAAATGAGAGATTTCATTTACTGTTGATACAGGGATTACTATAATGTCAATCTGATTGGTCAGTATTAAACTTAGCAAAGACTAGTTTCTCTTATCAATATTTTAATGGACTAGTTGATTATACCGCTCAATTGTATAGAAAAAATTACAAGGACCCGGTAAATCTAGGATTAATTCTGATGAAATAATGAATAGCAAATAGACATTATTTATAATATTATGCTTTATATAAATGTTGGAGAAATCCAGGAAACTCGAAAAGAGCCGAAAAGACGCTGAAAACACTGAGAAGCATCTTATCCAATCAGCATTAATATAAGTTTTGTCAGGGACATCTACAAAATGAAGTCACGTGTCACGTTTCTGAGTGGATGATTACCTATACTGCTACTAAGGTCATCTAAAATACTAAATATACCCTAGAATTTCTGTACATAAACGAACCTTGGGGTAAAGCATTTCTTCATGTTTCACGCCCTTTTTTTCTCGCGTTCAAGTTGATGTGTAGATTTAGCCTGGATGTTACTAGAAGAGATTAGGAACCGAATCTAGCATTCAATTAGTGCCTGAAACAGTATCTAATGACGGTAACCCATCTGCACTAAGAATTAATAACATCAATACTTTAATGGATGGATAAAACTGTTTGAGGAAACTAAGTGTCACACATTTCAAAATGGAATCACTTATCCCATCTTCGATGGTTTGTGATGCCAGGAAGGAACTTCGTGTTCAATTTAAATAAAGTCACAAATTTCTTAGATCTAAAAGATGTTCCTAAAACAATAAACATCAATTTATCATTAGTGAAGTAACTAAGTGTATAATTTTTAGATTTAGTGTCACTGTGTGCAACATATCTAATAAAACCTTACTAAAAGCGGCTAGGAATTCTGTTTGGCGAGTAGTTGATCTTCTAGAGAGCTCGTTTTAATGTATTCACTTGAATAAAAATTGTCAACGGTTTCCCTATCCTACATTTTTTTCTCCTATTCCTACTTACTTGTCGAAGGACTGAAAAGGTCTAAATCATTAATTGCTGCCTCCGTTAAGTTCATAAATGTCCTTATCGTTAGAGATAGGACTGTAAACGAAAGATATATGAAAACTGTTGAGATACGTAGAGACTGTCACTAATTATGCAATTTCCTTACTGTCACCTGTTTATTTTAAAGGTCTTTTGTAGCGAGACCTCCTGTTAATCCAAGTTATCGCTTATCATAGAAAGCTGTTAGTATAATACGAGCTCTACACAGTGTAGATCCAAATCTGACGACTAGTATATTTCTGACATATTTTACGGTTTTCGATAATATACCCCTTCAACAAACCAAACGTAACCATGTAATTTAGCTGTTCATTATCCATTTAAATTATTCTAAGAAGTCAGTAGGGTAGGTAGCCGATATCGGGACTATAAAGATCTAGCCTGAAACATCCGATAAACCCTGACAAGTATGTGGGGTCGAAATAACTTCTTTTGGTGAATTTTCGGTAATTTTTCATCAAGCTTTACAATTTTCAAAACATTTAAATAATCATGATCTGAGTGAACATTTCTTTTTGTAAACGTGATTACATATATACCGAAGTTTTCTATCCTAATTCTTAGTTTTCAATGGTAATTGAATTCATTTAGTCAAATTCCTTGTTTAAACTAGTGTTACATTGGGAAGAAATTGATGGAAAAGAATAGCCATTGTTTGTTTTCTTCTTAAACTTTATTTCGATCAGTGTTTATTCCTTGTCCAACTGATAAGTAACTCATAGCCATACTATTTTGACTGGAAATTGTTAAAAAATAAAATAACAGTTCTAATTATACAAATATATATACCCACTTGGTTAGTTAATCTTTCCATCTCCGAAAGTCTCTTCCATTTGGGACTGGCGAAATCAGTTTTAAGAGCAAATCGGTAGTTCAATTAGTCCAGCCACATTTTGAAAGATTCATCAAATGAACTAAACTAACATAACAATTAGTAGGCCAATGCAACTACATTTCGTTTTTACTAACACGCATCAATGTGACTTGACTTCAGGAAATAAACCATAGTTCTTATTGATATGATATGTTGAGTTAAATAAGAGAGTAGTTTTTATTAAACTAACAAAACTTAAATATTCTAAATAAATTTATCAAACAGAATGTCCTTTTAATAGAACAAATATCTCTATTGTATTTGTCAAACAAGTTAATTCATTGATAATTTATTCTATACCTAAATGATGAGGATTGCAGGAAGTAAATTAATGCAAGTATACTATCGAAAAGATTTGTAGAGAATTCAAAGTAACCTTTCCGAATTCTGTGATGTTATAAAGTAAACTAAAAAGAATCTTGTATCTAAGCAACAGTTACATCCTGGAGATTGTTTAAAGTAGGATACCTCGTGAGCCACTTCATATATATATATATGAGTTAAAGATGGAAACTTTATTCTTCCAATTATCATGGATATTGGAAATTCAACCAAGAGAAATCAACAAAAAG